ATCCAACACTGGGATGACCAAAGCCCCTCGAGCAAAGTCGGCAGACAAGAAGAAGTGGGTTTCAATTCCATAAGAATCCACTAGGATTGGGGGACGGCTGGAACCGGACCCCTCATCCTCAGGGAAGAGAGAGCGAAGAGGAACGGTTTGAGAGGATGACATAAGAACTGACTTGAGTAGGGATTAAGAAGTTCGGAGAAGACGACAGGAGTTAGGCCTCCTAGGGTTTGCGAGTGAAAAACTTTGAGGGATTTTGCAGGCAAAATGAATGAGAAAAGGTGTCAAGAAGGAGAAGCATACCTTATATAGGGGTGATGCAACAACACTTCTTGAGAACCGCTCGGACACCGGCGTAAGAGCAATCGAGTACTGCAGCCGAAAAGACAAGTTTGGAACTCATGCACGCCGCAGACGTGTGTCGTTCTATTAACTGCATTTAATTCTGAGTGGCGGCACAAATCATTAAAGATTTCAAATTTGAAAAAGCGGCTCGTTAATCTCCTAAAATATAGCCCGACTGATTTTAGAGAGTGGGGGGGGGGGGGGGCTTGTGATGGTACTATGGACAACGGCCATGGCCCAAAGATTAAATTAAATATAAAGCCCATAAACAGGATTAGCCCATTAACAGGATCAACTTATCAACAGGATCAGCCCCTTAACAGGGATTAATATTAATGAGTCATTGAGCCGAATTGGGAATCAGACCCATGAGAGGAACCCACAACCAGGCCGAGCTGGATAGCGGACCTCGAGCTTGGGCCGAGTTCTAGTGAGATTGGACTTTTCCTAGCACTTATGTGGCAGGCTATCATTCGTGCATAGCTATCTGGCAGAGGTAGGAATAATAGAAGGAACGTAGACTTGAAGGAAACAATCATTGCACATATATAGCTATCTGGCAGTCTGCACATATCTATTACATCGGTTTACTTCTAGTACCTAAGGTCTATAAATATTTCATGTACATATCCCATCAGGGGACCGAATTCCGGAATAATAACACTCCCTTACGCTGCCTAAATTTCATCTGCTCTCGTAGTTGGATTAAGCTCAATCACAGAGTAATATTAATTGTGTATAGACTCATGCATAATACTTATTGTGAATATGTACATGTATATATAACGTACCATTTTTACAATGAGAAAATTGTTATTGCTAAGACAAAAACATAGGCTTTTTCCCAAAATAGGACTTAATGTTTGGTTTTCCCTAAATAGGACTAATCTTACCTTTTTTTACCCCTAATTCTATTTAATTAATTAATTGGTCTAAATAATTGCCCCCTAGTTTCCTTGCACAACCAAGGCAGTCTGTCGGTGGCGGGGCAGTCCGTGGCGGCGGCAGAACTCCGGCAGCCGGTCAGCGGCGGATTCCGGCGGCGGCGGCGAACTCCGGCAATTAATTAACCCAATTAATTGCCCCCTAGTTCTCTTGCACAACCAAGGCAGTCCGTTGGTAGCAGGGTAGTCCGGTGGTGGCGGCAGCAGATTTCGGCGGCGGCGGCGGCCGGAGGCAGAAACGCTGGGAAACGTCCAGAAAAAAATTCTGGAAATTTTTCCGACAGTGGTCGCCGGAGCTCCCGTGTCGATCTGGCGGCGGCAGCAGGTGGTCGGCGGCAGACAGTTGGCAGCAGTCTAGGGGCAGAAATAGTGGTATTTTGGTCTACTCACACATAAAAAATCCTATTTAAGAATATTTAAACTAAGTGTTACTACCTCCGTCCCATTTTATAAGTCTTAGTTTGACTCGACACGATTCTTAATGAAGTGGTTGAAAAAGTAAAAGTTGTGGTTGAGATTTGAGTATAATAAAGTGAAATGATGTAAACCACATATTTCTTTTCAAAAAGGGAAAGGAGACACTCATTTTGGGACAATCCAAAAAGGAAAGTAGGATAGGTAAAATGGGATGGAGGGAGTACTATTTTGGGAAAAATGCCATGTTTCACTCCTATTAGGGTAAAAAACCCTTTTACAATTTATTATACTCATGCTCTTGTGGGAAAATTATTAGGAAATCTTAATTAGTCTCCATTGTGTGTTGATTCCGTTTCTTGCAAAGTATTTACACAAAAAATGAAACAAATCAAGCAAACAAGTAACAATAACAAAAGTATACATATATTCTAATAGAGAGCGGTTTCAGTAAGAACAGATCTTAGGAGAAAAATGAGAACGAATCTGGACCGTTGGATTGTATTATGTGGAACCAAATTATGCATTTGGTGAAACTGAAATATGCATTAAATGATATTGAAATGTGCAAAATAAAAATTTAAACTCAAGTGTGCATTAGATGAAATTGATATGTGCGAAAAAAGTACAAAAATAAAATCACATCGTACTTTTAATTCTGCACATTTCGGTTTCACCTAGTGCACATTTCAATTTCACGTAATGCACAATTCAACTACACATAATGTCACTCTATTGTACCCTTTGTGATGCACATTTTAATTTCACCGAATGAACATTACAGTTTCATCTAATGCACACTGAATTTCACTTGAAACAAATCTAACGGTCCAGATTCGTTCTCATTTCTCTCATAAGATCGTGTTCTTATTTGAACCAAAACCTATTCTAATATATGACTATATAATTATTTAACAATAATTATAGTATTGAATTCACAGGAAAATACTCATGAGAGAGTTGCACTGATAACCTAGAAGCAAGAGTTGTTCAAGTGAGCTCCGATTTAGCCATCAACGCAGAATCGCAGATCGAGTACTTCTCATTCCAATATCGAAGTAAATCGATTTCCTCACCGCTAAAATACTGATTTCGTTCTATTGTATCTTTTCTATCTTTTAATAATAAAATAGTTATTTAATAAAAAAAAGTATACTACATCTTCATTCATGTATTCAGTCGTTTACTCATTTATAATATTGCATATTAGCTTAAAATTATGGTGTAAAATTATAAAAAATCAGATTGGGTTTAAAGCAATTCCTAATTTGTAGGTTAGCCTACCAAATAAGGGATTAGTAGAGGTAATAAGGTAGAGATAGAGGTATAACCAGAGGTCGAGTACGAGCCCAGGGAGAACTACAGAGGGTGAAGAGTGTTGGAAAAATGTGTTGAAATTGCATTAAATGGTAATTTTGGGGCAATTTTTTGAGTGGGGTCCACTTCCGATTTGGATCGGGTCAAAGTGGTTTCGTATTGTCCTTGTTAGGGGCTACAATTCGATATATGGTACGCTGAAAACGGATAACGGGTGAATGAAAAATTGCTTTTCGAAGTTTACCCGTTAGAATGGAAAAACTGGGAAAAAGAATGAGTTTCTAGTGTGTTATTTCCCACACCAGAAAACCCAAGGGATTTGTAACTCTTTATAAAGGGACTCCCCCCTTAAGGAGTTAAGATTCCTTAGGGTAAAGGCTCTCTCCACGCGCGTAGGAGTGCAAATCAAATCTCGAAATCGGAGATGAAAAACCGCGACTTGCGTGCGCGGGCGACCTGCGGACACGAATGTCGTCCAAAAAATCTATCTCTGTTGCGAAGCTCGGACAGAGCACCTCGGGGTGTTCTGTTCTGTCCGAGAGCACCTCGGGGTGTTCTGTTCTGTCCGTTACAGCATTAAATGTCCAACATTCTTATCTTTTAATTTTTTCAGCTAAAAAACACCTCCAGCATTCCGAAAATTTCCTGAGTGTTCATACTGTGTTCTCGTTCGCTGGAACTCTTGTTTGTGTGCTCAAACATTAGTTCAAAGTCATCGTATCCTGGGAAACGATTGTTGCAATGCTCCTAGCACCGTGGGAGACAACAAAATACGTTTTAAGGAAATCGTGCGTAGCACGAGCTTTGACTGATTTCTACTCCATCTCATTTCTTGTTTTCTTTCGTCATTTTAATTAATTTGTTTTACTCCCTCCGTCCCAATTTACTTAGTCAAACTTGTTTTTTCAAGTCAATGGTACCTAACTTTGACCGATTATATATCTATATAGAAAAAATATTAATGATATAAAAATTATATGAAAAATTTATTTGTTGAAAATACTATTATAAAAGTATAAAATTATTAATATTTTCATAAATATATTAGTTAAAATAATTGGTCAAAGTGAACCAGCTTTGACTGGAAAAGTCAAGATTGGCTAACTAAATTGGGATGGAGGTAGTAATTAATTTTCTTTATTTTCCGAAACACACCCAACAAAGAGTTGAGCAGTGTAGGACTGAATGGACAACGGGACAGTAAGGTTGGAGCAGCAAGCAGAGCCGTGCTTCCTTTGAGGCGGGTGAGGCATGGGCCTCAGGGCCCCAAAAATGTTACAATTTTAGGGGCCCAAAATTTAAGATATTTTATAGTGTACATATGTAGATAGCTTATCTGGTTAGGCGCGCTTGACCATAAATTCTTGAAACGTACTGCACATTCTGCACATTCTAATCATAAAGTTGTGGTGTGAATTGTGATTTTTTGTGTTAGAGACTTGAGAAGTAGTTTGTGATTGAATTTAACAGTTAACTATTAATCAATATTAATATACATACGTAGTATGAAATATGCTAACTATTAATAAGTATTCATGTTTTTAGCTTTTAAACTTGTAAAGCCATTTATGATCTTGTATATATTATGAGACTTGAAGTCAGAGAGCTTTTGGCCGAAATTGAATTGGATATCAAGAATTGAAAACTTTTTTTATTTAAGTTGTTCCTTTTTTAGATATTTAAATATAAAATTTTGAACATGTCACATACAGGGGCGGAGCCAAGGGGGGGTCAGGGTGGTCAGCCGACCCCGCTGAAAGTTTGAGAGTATAGAGCTCTGAAATATCTTCGATTTGATATATTATGGCCCCCGTAACTCATTACGAATAAAAAGTTATGACTTCTGGAAAATCAGCACCTTCTAAACGTAAAATAAGGAAAATTTGATGCATAATATTGATTATTTTTTCAAATTTTAAAATAACATATAATTAACTCATTACTTACGTGACATGATTCAGAAACAAGGCAAAGACAATCTGTCTTATTTCTTATGAATGCCTATTTATCTAAACTACAAATGAAACATTCAACTCGAACATTGTCTCAAAACGATCTACCATTTTCATTTTATACATAATTGATTTTCGACCCCCCTGACCCATTTTTCTAGCTCCGCCACTGGTCACATAGTATAATATGGTGACAAGAATCAAGATTTATTATTGAGCACATTATACTACAAAAATTACATGTACGGGCCTTTTTAGTAAGTTCGACTCAGGCCCGAATTTAGGTAGGATCGGCACTGGCAGCAAGGAGTGGAGGAGGACCCAGGCCGCCGAAGTTATACCTCAGGAGTGTGTGTATTACGAACAATTGAGCAAAGAAAGTATGAAACGTAGACTCAGCAAAAAGCAACATAAATGACAATGTTTAGATTTTTTAATGGCCATGAAGACGTTGTTGTCACACCCTTTTTTATAGCTTTTGATGCTCATGTGAACACCTTTGAACGCTTGGAACAGTTGGAAGACCACACGCCTAAGGAGCATAAAAGAATCACATAGCAAGAATGAATAATGAAATATAATATGGACTAAATTAGAGCCTGTTTGGTGAGGTTTCTATGTGGCTGTGGGATATGGCTCAATCTCCAGACACCCCAAGTTTTTTTGAAGCAAAAGCATCCTCAAAAATCCAATTGCCAAAAACTACTTGTTCTAAACATTTGATTGAATAAGCAAAAAGAACCGGATTCGCAAGAGCTAAATTGTGCCTTTTGATCATATCAAGACAGGAAAGAAGTGCCAGCATGGTTATGGTGGAGGAGGTTATGAGCAATGGCATCCCTAGCAATCCTTGCACCAGATGACCTGATCTGAACCTCCGGTATTGAGATTATTTACTATTTAGCTCATACGGAGTATGATTTATATATCATGTGTAATGTTTCCCTTTTACTAAGCATGTAAGTGTGGGTGCATGTAATGCATGGCCCATGCATTATTCCTTTCTATTATGCATACAACCTATTTATATGTAGCATGCATGCCATGAAATAATACAAGTTACGTATCATTCTCCTTACATGAAGTCTTGCTCTCCCAATATCAGCTCCTATTTTTATCATTAGTTTTATATGAAATTTAACATGGTATCAGAGCCAAAACCTGGATATCCCAATACTAGTTACTTTTGAGATATTTCATTTTTTTTCTTCTTTCCTCTCATATTAACGTGATGGCAATGCCGACTCACACTCGTACCTGGATAATTGATTCTGGAGCAAGTGAGCATATCACTTGTGATAGTGTAAACCTTTTCAACATTTCTACTCGTTCATCTGAACCAGGAGTAAGAATTCCTAATGGGGAATTAGTTCCAGTCACTGCCGTTGGTAGCTTGTACCTGTCTAATGGGTTCTATCTTCGTCGTGTTCTTTATGTTCCGCAGTTCCAATGCAACTTGCTCTCCGTCAGTCGCCTCACAAGTGAATTGAATTGCACACTCACTTTCTTCTCAGACTTCTGTATATTACAGGATTTACGCTCCAGAAAATTAATTGGCAAGGGTGGATTTCATAATGGTCTCTATTACCTAGAATCACCTAGGGGTGAAAGGGTGGCGATGGGAGCTACTCTTAATTCTGATTTATGGCACCGGAGGCTGGGACATGCCTCGAATGGAAAATTACAACACATTTCATTTCTCAAAGGTTTACAACAGTGCAATAGCTTTTGTGATCCTTGCTTACGAGCTAAACAAACCCGGCTACCCTTCCCGAAAAGTACAAGTAAGACTACTTGTTGTTTTGAATTAATACATTGTGATATATGGGGAAGTTATAGATGTGACTCTACTTCAGGAGCACGCTATTTCTTGTCCATTGTTGATGATTTTTCTAGAGGTGTGTGGGTTTACCTCATGAAAAATAAGTCTGAAGTTTGCCAAAAATTGATACAATTTTGCAAAATGGTAGAAACTCAGTTTGAGAGAAGAGTTAAACGGATACGTTCAGATAACGGAATGGAATTTCAAACCAATTTTTTATCTGAATATTATGCCCGTTGCGGAATTATTTTGGAGACATCGTGCACAGACACCCCCCAACAAAATGGAGTTGTAGAGCGTAAGCACAGACATATATTAGAAGTTGCTAGGGCTCTTCGTTTTCAATCAGGATTGCCTATTGATTTTTGGGGGGAATGCATTCTTACTGCCGTTTATATTATCAATCGATTACCGTCTCCTATTATTTCAAACAAAAGCCCCTATGAGATATTGTTTAGGAAGGAACCTTACTATGAACACCTACGCGTTTTTGGGTGTCTAGTATATGCACACGACAACAAACGCAAAGATAAATTTGGCGAAAGGGGGAGTCCTTGTGTATTTCTGGGGTATCCCTACGGTCAGAAGGCTTATAGAGTATTTGATTTGCAAAAGCAAAATATATATAGCTCTCGAGACGTGACCTTTATTGAAAATGAATTCCCTTTTAAAATGGTAAATCAAGAAGGGCTCGATTTTGGGGACATAATTGATCGTGTATGTCAAAAAATAATGGGCCATGGCAGTACATATATGTCCGCAGACTACCACACCAGTCCATTGCGCGCTGAAAACTCCCTTCATCCATCGAACTACCAGACAGAGAACCCAGCAAGCCTAGAGCCAGTCAACAGCCTAGAGGATATCTGTGGCTATCCTCTCACAGAAGTGTGCACGCGTGGGCCCCAACGAAATGTAGAAACTCATTTTCCTCCACATGATTCCTGCGCACCAGTCTGCAGGTCACATGGCCAGCTGGGAACACAGACGGATGAGGATGGTGCAGGAGGCGGGCCAAGCTCTAGTCCACTCTTACACACCGGGCAGCTGCTTTCTTCAAATATACATGTGGAAGGATGTGGAATAGATCCTTTGCATCATACGTCTTCTGTGAGTCCGTTACAAAATGAATGGCAACCAAATAATTGTTCAAATGGAGAGAAAAGTGTGGATCCACCTTTAACAAATGACCCACGTGACATGACTGAACAAATTTCAATCACCGATGAAATAAGAAGAGGCAATCGAGCTCGTCGACTCCCTAAACATCTCGGTGAATATGATGTTGACCTGCCGCCCTCCTTGGACTATTCACGGACCACTAATAATCAAGGCAACTCAGCACTATATCCCATTTCCAATTTTATTACTTATGAGAAGTTTTCTGATAAACATAAAGTATTTCTGGCGGCGATTACTTCACGTGATGAGCCACAACGATTTTCACAGGCCATTTTAGATCCAAAGTGGCGGGAGGCTATGCAAAGGGAAATTCATGCTTTAGAGAAAAATGGTACATGGACATTGGTTCAGCTACCTCCGGGGAAGAAAACAGTAGACTCTAAATGGGTCTATAAAATAAAATATAAACCTAACGGCGATGTGGAACGCTACAAGGCAAGATTAGTAGCCAAAGGCTTCACACAAGTTGAAGGAATTGATTTCCACGAAACATTTGCACCAGTTGCTAAACTCGTCACAGTACGATGTTTGTTAGCCGTTGCGGCCAAACGCAATTGGGAGGTACATCAATTAGATGTCAATAATGCTTTTCTCCACGGAGACCTCTCAGAAGATGTTTACATGCGTGTCCCTCAAGGGTTTACTAAAAATGGTGATACCCGTGTTTGCAAACTGCACAAATCCCTTTATGGCTTACGCCAAGCATCTCGTAATTGGTACCACAAGTTTACTCAATCACTTTTGAATATCGGATTTCGTCAATCAAGGGCGGATCATTCCTTATTCATTTTTCAGCAGGGTCGAATTAACACTTTTGCTCTTATCTATGTCGATGATGTCATCCTAGCAGGAAATGATGTGACTCATATCAACAAAATCAAGGGGTACTTAGATGACCAATTTAGTATCAAGGATTTGGGTACACTAAAATATTTCCTCGGAATTGAGGTTGCTCGTTCTCCCGAGGGATTTGTGTTAAGTCAGCGCAAATATACACTTGATATCCTAGAAGAAAGCGGTCTTCTAGCCGCTCGCCCAAGTCAATTTCCAATGGAACAGAACTTGAAACTACGACCAGATGATGATAGCCCACCTGTAGATGCTTCATCATATCGCCGCTTGATCGGTCGCTTGTTGTACCTTACTGTGACTCGTCCGGACATTGTCTTTTCTGTTAGTCAGCTTAGTCAATTTCTCAGCCAGCCACGCCAGTCTCACTTTGACGCCGCCATACGCGTTCTTCGCTATTTAAAGCAGACTCCAGGACAAGGAATTTTCTTATCTGCAGATAATGATTTCTCTTTGACAGGTTATTGTGATGCTGACTGGGCAGGATGCTCCTACACTCGTCGATCTAGCACTGGATATTTCATCACTCTAGGCAATTCTCCAATCTCTTGGAGGACGAAGAAACAGTCTGTTGTCTCACGCTCTTCCGCAGAAGCAGAATACCGTGCCATGGCCGTTACAGTAAGTGAAATCTTATGGCTACGATGGTTACTTCGAGACCTAACCATTCCTCAAACTGGTCCAACTTCTCTCTTCTGTGATAATCAAGCAGCTCGACACATTGCACTCAACCCCGTTTTTCATGAACGTACCAAGCACGTAGAAATGGATTGTTTCTTTGTTCGTGAACGCGTTGCTAGTGGCGAAATCCAACCATGTTGTATTAGTACAACAAATCAGATTGCTGATATTTTTACTAAGGCGCTTGGCACTGATCGTTTTCAGTTTCTCAGGAGCAAGTTGGGTGTTCGCAATCTTCACACGCCACCTTGAGGGGGAGTATTGAGATTATTTACTATTTAGCTCATACGGAGTATGATTTATATATCATGTGTAATGTTTCCCTTTTACTAAGCATGTAAGTGTGGGTGCATGTAATGCATGGCCCATGCATTATTCCTTTCTATTATGCATACAACCTATTTATATGTAGCATGCATGCCATGAAATAATACAAGTTACGTATCATTCTCCTTACATGAAGTCTTGCTCTCCCAATATCAGCTCCTATTTTTATCATTAGTTTTATATGAAATTTAACATCCGGAACCACCTCATCATCGACCAGCTCAAACCCAATTGCTGGATCGAACCCTTCGTTCCTCACTTCGCATATGTTATGCAACACGCAGCACGCCCCGAGCACAGCAGGCAAATCCACAAGCTTAGTCTCAGTTCTCTTCTGCAGACAAGCCCATCTCCCTTTCAACCTAGCAAAAGCGTCCTTGGCCACACCGTGAATCTCCCCAACCTTCTCATTGAGAGCATGCTGTGTCCATGTCAGATTCTGATGTGTGTAGGGAACAAGAACCCAATCCATCAAAGGGTAGCTCGAGTTCCCAACTATCCAATTGCCACTCAACAACCCCTTATTAGCATTTCGGTATACGGAAGAATTCTCCAACACCTGATCATCGGACATTGATCCAGGACGTCCAATGCAAACATCAGTGAAAACGCCTTTCGGGTCAACCACCCCTTGGACCGTGATGGAGTAGGATGTTTTCTGGTTCCTCTCTGTGTGCCTCTTGTTGAAATAAGCGGCCACGCTGTTCTTAGGAGCAATGATGGGTATATGAGTGGTATACACCGAACCTATGACGTTTCGGATCCCGGAAATACTCTCGTATTCGTCTTTTATGCGCCTCATTCTCACCTCATCCGGCCAGCGGATGTATTTAGGCAGCAAAACGTTTGTGATTGCATTACAGACCTCAAGAACGAGCTTATGGCAAGTGGAAATGCCTAATCCGAACTTCTTAGAGACTAGTCTTAGTGGCTCCCCTGTGGCTAATCTCCATATGCAGACTGCAACTCTCTGCTTCACAGGGACGGCAACTCTGAGAGTGGTGTTCTCCTTTGCCACCACAGAGCTTAGCTCGCTGCAAATCATCTCGAATGTCTCTTTCCCCATTCTAAAGGCTCTCTTGAATTCCTCCTCCGGGAACTCCGGACTGCTGCATTGGTCCCACCAATCCTGGGACCGCTCCTTGACCCACAACCTCCTCTGCGGCAGAACGGTCTGGGTTTTTTCGCCCCTGTTGGTGGGGTCCGTCTGTTGGTCGTCGGAGGCAGCCGCCACCGCAATCGCCGCCGCCGCGGCGGAGGAGTTGCCGTTTACTCTCCTCTTCCTCGTCCCGTCTGTCAAATCGACGGCGTCGTCGTTGTGATGGACGTAGGAAAGATACTCCCGCGTCGCGCAATTCCTCTTCCGGAGGTTCTCTTCGAGAAGTGCTCTGTCGTCGAGGTATTCCATGTACGAAGCTTCCTGCTCGTCCTTTTCTTGCTCCTCGAGTAACAGCAGCGACGTGAGAATCTGTTCCACCTCACGGGTTTTCGCGACCGCGTGCTTGTCGTCATCTGCAACCTCACTGCTCCCCTCCCGGCGGCCACAAACGTGTTCGATGACGCCGTCGACCTTCTGCCGGCGGCGGTTATTAGTTGGCTGGTTGCTGCTGCAACTCATTTGTTAGAAATTCTGGGTTCGGCGAATATTTAATCAAGTAGAAATAGACTACCCGGAATCTCCTTTGGAGGAAAGGAAACTTCATACTCGTATACATAGTATATGAAAAGGAAGGAATTGGAAGGGTTGCCGCGAAGATGTTCGGTATAATGTGTGAATGGAAATGTGAAATATTGGGACCTGGACAATTCGAAAAGAAAAAAGAAAATGAAGAAGGTTTTAACCGTTCTCCATGAGAAAAAAGAGTGTTTGCTTGTACACTTTACATTCTGGTTTTACTTGTTAAGAATTAAACTCAATAGCAC